CTTGGAACCAAGGTTTTTAAAATCGGACCGGATCGGCCGGTTGAACCGGTCGGACTGGTACCGGTAATGAAATGGTTCGGTTTACACAAAAAACCTTTAAGGATAAAACCGATCAAAACCGATCAAAAACCGATGAAAACCGATGGAACCGATAGAACCAAAAAAACCATCGGTTCAATTTCTCTTGTAATTTTTTTTTATTTTTTCCAATTTCACCCTCACCATTCCTTTTTTATATCGATTTTAACCCTTAATTTTAATAAAATTACAAAATTACCTGCCCTTGTCATCAAATTTCCCTTATTGTTTGAATCGGTCGATTCACCGGTTCAACCGATTGAACCGATCAAACTGGGAACCGAACTTGAAAACGGTTCAATAACCGGTTTGGTTTTAAAAACCTTGCTTGGAACCCAGCGCCTAGGTTCCATGCTGGGTTCCATGGAACCCGCGCCTGGGTTCCATGGAACCCACGCGCTGGGTTCCCAGGCAAACCCACGCCTGGGTTCGAAGAACCCAGGGGTAAAAAATATATTTTTTTTTTCTGTGGTTTTGGTGTTTGATGATGATGTGTTTGATGATGATGATGATGTGTTTGATGATGATGAAGAAAGCAAGGCAAGGAAGAGGAAGGAAAAAAAAAGGGCGTTGTTGGGTTCGATTCAACCCAGGTGCTGGTTTTGTTTGGTGCTGGGATTGTTTGCTGGAGGAAGAAGATGATGGCAAATTTGTAATTTTGGTGGGTCCCACTTTTGTTGGGTTAGGCAAGGAGATGACGTGTCACTTTGCCATGTCATTATTTATTCATTTATACAATTGACGTGTCTCAAAGGTTTGACATGTCATTAAATTGTCTGAGATAACGGTGAGATTTTAATGGAAGGACCAAATCGGGGTAAAAATGGTAAACAATTGGGACCAAATCAGGGATTTTTTTAGTTCAGGGACCAAATCGAGGGTCCGTACAATAGTTCAGGGACCAAAAAAGAGTTTTAACCTTAAAAAAATAAGTCTTATGATCCATAATAAATTTCATATGACTCATAAAGACTTCAATAATTATGCAATAATTAATTATTGCATAATTATTGAAGTCTTTATGAGTCATATTAAATTTATTATGGATCATAAGACTTAATTTTTTTTAAGAAATAGAGAAATATATTAAATAATAAAAAATTACAGTAAAATCTCTATTTTATGGCA